AAGCTGTAAAATTATCTGGATGAAATATGTACATATTTATAGTCTAGCATCTGGTATATGTTACATGGCCAGCTTTGTTTGAACAAACTCTGCTAGACCTGGGTTAAGACAAGTCCCTCCCTAGTAATAAGATCTGTAGTTCATAAAAAGGCAGCCTACATGCTGCTGATTCAAGTGCTCTGAGAAATGTCCTCCAAAATGACACGATGCAGACTGCTGCCCTCATGCTAGTGCCACTCGTGCTGGGGAAATCTTTTCCCGCTTGTCTGGTCATGCCTGTGGCATACTGTCGAGGGTCAGCATCACAGTCAAGTTGTGAGGGACCTCATCCCACAACTTGTACCCTCATGTGGCTGATGTGAATTTTCTCTTTGATTTTTATGCAAGTGAGAACAGTCAGCAAGAGCAATGAACAAAAAGTAAGTTCTGTAACAGGATTTTGAGCAGCAAATTAGGCTCTAGGGGGAGTGACTAATATTTATAATAGTTCATGTTTTCTTGAGAACTTTAGCTGTCTGGGGAAGGAAAGGTCAAAAGGTTACATTTTTATGGATTTCTCCCCATCTAACTATTAGATATAGTGTGTAATTTATGATTCATCTAAATATGGACCTAGACCTTTCCTACAACAATCTCCTCTTGGGGGAAGTTTGGGACAGCCCAAAAAGTTATTTTTATCAACTCCTCCACTCCTTAAGATTCTGTTTTTAAAATTGCTGGGGATAGTTTTTCAGCACGCTAATTCCCAAACCAAAATTGTAAGCAGTGTACCTTCCAAGCTTGATATAAACATGACATACCATGATTGAAGAGAAGCACCCAGGAAAACGAAGTCCTGACATTTTTGGTGTCCCCTTTAAGATTGTTTATTAAAATAAAGCAGCTATAAGAAGAATCTCTGTTCTGCAATAGACATTTAGCAACTCAGAAGAGCATTTCTCCTGAGTTCAGGACAATTTACTAAGCAAAATTACTGTGTGCCATCTGAAAATCATCTTTGGCACAATCAGGTGTATTCCTCCACCATGCTCCATAGTGCTGACCTGAGAACTTCCCCTAAGCATGTGAATGAGGATAGGAGTCATAGGAATCCTAGAGATAACTTTCTTTGGATCTGGATTAAGTCTGCAGTCCTTACACTGGTTTTTAAAAGAGTACTGAAATAAAATGCAGTCACATCTTATTTCCCTGAAATTGAAAAATAGCTCTTCTCAGTGTTATCCAAAATAAACTTTCTTTTTGTTTCAATCCATCAAAACAAGATGGTCATTCGAACTCTGTTCTGTGAGTCATTTGTATACCACCTTTTACATTCTGTTTTGCAAAGCACTTTATACAATTAAAACAAATAATACCTTCAGGCTTGAATATGCAGTGTGGGAGCAGGTCTGAACTAGAAATTTTGTTCCAGTATCTGTTCAAAAGCAGTAATCATAGCGTCCTTGTATGCCAGTGAGGAAGCTACTTGCTATGCTGGCATGCCTGTCACAAAGTTTGGGCACTGAAGGTTTTGCTGCTCTTTGTCCTGTTCTGAGAGGGTCCCCAGAGCCTCTCATTTTCACCCATCCCTGATTACTAACCAGGACAGTGTTTTCAAATGGGTAGGTCCTTCTTTGTTTTCCCATGACCAGCAACTGCTTGAAATAACTCCACAATTTCTTTAAACAGAATTTCTTTTTTTTCTCCTGGTGATTCCCATCCCATCCAACAGAAGAAGAGCACAAAACATTATGATTTACTTGTAAGTTTGGGATAAATACCCCTTCTCTTGGACTGCTACTGCTGCCCAACACGACTCTTTATAGTACCTCTGCCAGACATGCATTAGCTTCAGCTTCCCTGTTCTTCCATTCCCCTCTGCTAATTTCTTTTAAAAGCACAGCACATCCTTTGAACATAGTTTTGGCCTTGAAAGAAATAAAAATCTTACATGCTTCTGACATCCAGGTGAGAGGATGTCCCTGAAAACAGGACTGCCTTGTACGTATGAGTCCAAAAAAGACAACAAGTAAAATATGCTGGGAGTATGAATGCACAGAGTAACTTCTGTTTCACAGTTATCTCTTATGCTATTACCCCTTAGCAGCCACAGGGTAATTTACCCCTCTTTCATGGCCGTATTTGTGCAATCTACATGTGAAATCAAACTCGCTGATCATGTTAGTCCATACTGTGCCGCTGACTTCTGTGATCCCTTCCAAGTAATACCTTCTGATGATCTGATCCAAACCTCTCTTAGATCAGAGGTCATCCTCAGTCATTTAGGTCTTTTATTTCTCCCCTCCACCCCCCAGCCTCAGTTTTTTAACTTGTTATATAATGGATGTCCTTCTTTCAAGAAGTTTTATGTGTATTCTGCACAGCTAACATGCTTTAGGCATCATTTGTCTCTCCTAACTGGGGCTGTTCTCCCTCCTTGCTTTACCTTATAGGTTTCAAGATAGTCCAGGGTTTCTGTGGTGTTTTGTGCATTTGCCCTGCCTCTGTCATGATTGCCCCAGGATTCACTGCACACACCTTTTGCCTGGCTTGAGAGCTCTCCACTGACAGGGTGGCTCATGGCAGACTTCCATAAGGCTTGCACTAACATATCCTCCTTGTAATAGGTGGGATTTTATGGCTCCTTTTATTGTTTCCATTCTTCTACCTTGTGTGAGAAGGCAGAAGTGGTGAAAAGACTGTCATTGTCTGTGCTGCATTACTGATGCTGGTTGTAAAGGCAATGCTTAGCTGGTGTCATCAGGGCTCTGCAGCTGTTCTGCTAATGCCACCCTAAACTCAGAGTTCAGCTCACCAAAAAGAACAAAACCAGCCAAAGGGGACTTCCAGGTGATGAAAACTGAACAGATTTTTTAGTTTCCTTAAGAGAGAAGTGGATAATGACACAAGAAATTGATGCCAAAGGCTACAAATTTACCAGTTGTCCTGTATCATGAAGTACATTCTTATATAAGGTCCCAGTGTGCAAAGGCTAAACAGACAATTCAAAAATATTGTGCACTTAATCAATACTAAGGACATTCTCCCTAATCTGGTTACAACTGTCTGTCTCTCTGCTTCCAGGGACAAAAGTTTTCTCCAGAGGCTTAATGACTGAACAAAAGCAACTTCTGGAGCTTGCCAAATTCTTCTGAAATACTGAAGTATTTGCCTGCTTCCAAAGGCAATAGAGTGGATGGAAGTGGCCTTTGTCTGGTCCCAGAGGCTGGGACAAGGAGATCACAAGGAAATTAATTTTGAAAAATCACCTTCCCTTAATACAAAACTTTCCAAATCAACTCATGTCATCACCTATTCATGAGGAATCTGGCAGCAGTGTACCAATCCAACTTGTTTTATAAAGCCAAGAAAAACAACCAATAAATTTGATAGTACAGTCTTTGGTCAGTCAAAAGCTAGAGAAAATGAGCATTTAATCTTCCTTTTCTTTTCCTTCTGTGCCACTCTCAGAAAGCTCTGTGGTCCTAAAATATATTTTCAGCAAAATGTAAGTGCCATAGCCCTAACCTGTGGTTTTATATCCAAGCTACTCAGCATCTGTACTGCCTCTGAGCATGTCCAGAACTGCTTTGCACCTTGACAGGGCTGAGGTGGCTGGCACCACTTTCATCCCAAATGGCACCCAGCCACATCCCAAATTTGGCCTCTTTTCTGCTGAGCTTCCCACAGGCAGAAACGCAGGCAGCTTTGTTAGGTGGGACCTGAGATGTACTGTTGGGATCAGGCTCCCTCTAAAATGCGTTGAGGGAAGACATCTTCTTTTTTTCTTTTTTTTTTTTTTCCTCTTTTTTTTTTTTGTGGTAGTTGCAAAAGGAGAAGTAGAAGTGTTTGTTTTATCTCCTTCCTTTTTTTTTTTTTTAACTCCTCTATAACATAATATTATAGCCATTGAAGAATTCATGTAGGAAGGAGCAGAGGGCCCTAGATTCAACTACTCAGCGTGAAGGTGTTAAAATTCACATTTCTAAGTAGGACAGGACAAATGGTTTAAGAATCTGTTTATAGAAAGCAAATGCAAAGACCAGCACTTCCAATGGTATCAGGATATTAGCCACAGTTTGCAGGAAAAATTAATCAAAACATTTTCGTAGTAATCACCCATTTTTAGGGATAACTTCAAGTCTTAAGGACGCAGATAATGTGCTTGAAAAGAAATATTTTCCACTGCTAATTACTGTCATTTCTCATAGAACAAATCTCCAAAAATGTCATCAAAAAAAAATCATATTTAAATGCATTGGAGCTGATAACTCTAACATTATTATTCTTCCTCTGCTTTTACTGAATTCTAGACTTGTTTGTCTTAGTGAGACAGTCACAGTTGTATGGGAAAAGGCTTCATCAGTGTTTTGTTATTTTGGAAACTGAAAACTTTGAGGCAAAAATATTTCCACTGAAAACCAAGAATTTCTGTTTGGGAAAGCTGCCCAGTTGCCTGTTGCTCAAGTAATCCGCTTGTCCCATGCAGTACTTGTGCATCTCTTGGAAGGGGAAGAGACTCAGAAGTGAGCACAAGAGAGCAACAAAATAGGTAATAAATGCATTCTCTTGTATCTTCCTCTGTTTTCTGACTGAACTCTGTAGAGAGGTGAAGTGTTTTGCCATAAAACTTTGGAAACAGACTGCATCAGCCTCCACTCTCTCAATTCCAGCTGCTGCTATTCAATGCTTGCTGCACAGCCCACCAAAAATCACAAAGGGCTTGATACAATGCATGCAGTTTGTGGTTATATTCTTTTTTAGGTTGGAACTGTTTCTCATCTGTTGTGTATGATCCAGGGAAGGCAATGAGACATAGAAGCAGGCCTGCTGTAGTTTACAGTCAAAACATCACTGTGGTCGGGGCAGGGGGCGAGAAATTGTTTCTTAGGCAAGAGGAAGTTTGAAAACAATCATGAAAAATGCCATGGTCACTTTAAGTAATTTTCATATTGTTGGACACACCTTTGTAGTTTACAGAAGTTATTGCTTCTGCAGTATCAGCAAGTGAAGAGCTAAAGAAAAGTAAAAAAAACCCTACCAGTTTAACAGCACTGTGAAAATTTGGACCTAGATTTTCCCAACAGCTTTCCTCTTTTAATCTTTGAATATAACTGAAGCTTTGTGATTTATTTTGACAGACCAAGAATCTGGCCGTCAGATACACAGTACTTGTCCTACTTATTCCAGAGAGACTACATATCATTTTCATCAACACTCAAAGTTAAAGTTCCCTCCAGAGCCAAGAAAATGACAATTACTGAGTCATAGTCCGTCAAATATTTATTAATCATATCACATTAAATAAAAATAGGGGAAAGAGACACTGTGAGACAAAATAATGTTTAGATTTATTTCCCTCTCTTTGACTCCCATGTGAAGTGAGTTCTGTCGGCTTAAATACAATCGCAATTTTTTTTTCCATGCAAAACAAGCCCATTTCAAAATAATTGTAAAAGTTTGCAGTGTGCAGCATATGGGATATGCAAGGCAAAACTGATGACTAACACTGTAGGCATTATTTATTAACTTTAATTCGTACTATCTCATATCCTCCTGTCAGCGCACTCCTCCTCCTCCTTTATTATTACAGATGAATGAAAACTGATGCTTCTGCATTCTTTTTAAACCATTGAAATATGTTAATTATTTACGGTAAGGCATCAGAATGAATAACAAGACACTATCCCTGAAGGTTTCAGCTTTGTGTTGTAGAAATTTCTTTACCTGGGCATAGTTTAAAGCAAAATGCATGAAATTATTCCAAACAAAGAAAGTCCACATTTTCTTCAGAATTTACACGGCCAGTCAGACGTTGTTAGCACCGATACTTAGGCCAGTCTTCTGGAACAGTATTACACTCTATGTATTCTAGGGTTACATGTCCAAATGTGCTTTCAAAAGCTGTTTTATTGCTAGAACAAAAGTATGGGAGATGGGAAAGGATGAGCATATGCTACCTGATGGATGCTGAAAGCACTTTCCTGCTCAAGGCCAGGTCAAGAGCTCTCACTACTTGGGATTACAAGTCAAGAATCTAGGCAATACCTTTGCTCTAAAACCCAAAAAAGGCTAATTTAAAAAGATTGGTCACAGTGCCTTTAACATTTTATAAAAAGGCAAAGTGCTAGAGCCTTTGTTTTGCAGTGGGGAATATCACGGTCTATGGAGCTTAAACCCAGGAGAGATGACGGACACTGGTCCTGGAGAAGTATTTGTTACCTCTCACTCCCCTTGAGAATGTGGATAGTGAGCAAAGGGTTGGTGGTTCAAAGTGTCAGAGAAGGAAAAGAGTGTGAAGCTGGCAGTGACTCTTCAGCTCCCTGACTTGTATGGTCAGGATAGGCAGGTATGGGATTGCAGGCTGTCCTAGAAGTACTGCCAGCAGTGCTCTAGCACTTCCATATGTATTGGAAACATTCAGTAACATGACAGCACAATGAAGTGGCCATGGCTTCATCAACAAAGAGAGTAAGTAACTTGTGCTGTGAAGGCAACTGAGATCTATATGTAACCTGAATTAAGCGAAGCTTTTAAAGGAAGCATCTGGGACCACCCAGGACAGATTCAGGTATTGTTGCGTAAGTGCAACCTGTGCACTCATTCTCCATATCAGAAGTATGGGTTGGGTGCATAAGAACCCCAGGACTAATCCTTTAATTCTTAGACTTTTTGTAGATCACAACTACTAGTTATAACTACTTAATTTTTATGGAACAACCCATATCCTTTTATGAACAACAAAGTGGGGTGAACAGCTGTTGTTTTTAATACTCACAGTCATTCTAAATGACTGTTTTTATCTTTTTAGACTGAATAAACTAGAGCGAAATAAATGGAATTTTTTGGAACTAGAAGTTATGAATCAACTCTTTGATGCAGAATGACTGTTTCTTGTCAGTATTGGCTGCTGACATGATTTTCTCTGCATTTGCATAGTACAAGTTATGTAAGCATCATGCAGCAAAGACGGATGAGGGCATGCTATATCTCCTTACAATTATATGACAAATGGTGAGGGATATGATTCATGTTTGTAAGGCACTAAATACAGCAAAGAAATTAAAAACAGACCTTCTGTATCTCCAACAAAGGAACCAAGGATTGAATCCTGCAGCTTTAAAAACATGATTATGTGCAGATGAAACAAAATCAATTTAGTAGTAATTTTAAAAAATTTAAGAATTATGGAAATTTCTGATTTAAAGGGATAGAAATTAAGGCTAGGAGGGGTTACTTTTGGGTAAAGCATTTTCATGTTGTTTGTTTTAATCCCTGGAAAGAACGCCTATCCCAAACACCTACTTTCTGGGTATCATCAAGTACACCTACAGCTGTAAGGCCAAGGACATAGACCGATTAGTCTTGTAGTGATAAATTCACAAGACAAGGAGAACTGGGGGGCTGATTTTAAAAGAAATATCTTCACACTTCCAAGCCAGTGATTTTCAGAAGAGATTGTCTTCTCCAGAGCACTGAGAAGTGAAGTTCCCATGCTCTGAAGCATTCTGGCTGGAAGAGCACATACCCCTGTGCTGTGTGCCAACAGTGGGCTCAGCCACAGTCCACAGCCATCACTGATCAGCACCAGGCTTTCCCTGGCCTGAATTACCTTTATTCAGATGCAAAGGGTCAAAGTACAGCTTAGCTTTGGATAAGAGCTTTCCAAAATTCGTGTGTTTTACATGAGTCGGAACCAGAGGGATGGAAATACGATAAGCGATAATTTCCAAAATGAGAAAAACGTCATTTTGCTATCCTACATTTCATAGTTGCAGAAAGGATTAGGCATAGATGTTGTTGAAAACTTTGGTGGAAGCTGCCATGACAATATTTTCAGGTCAGTAAAACGCAGGAAATACCAAAAATCTTTTGGGGAATGGATATGATGAGATTAGCACATTAGTTTTATCTATTTGTAGAATTCAGAGAATTTAGGAAGGACTTTGTGGAGATTACCAAATCTTTAAACCTCAGGAAATCCCAGTGTAGGTTCTCATGAGCTGAACTGCCAAGGGTGTCTGGCAGGAGAGAGTTATTATACGTCTGGGAAGAGCATGTGATAGTTTCCAACTTCCTTCATAACAACAAAAAAATTTTCACTTCACTAAGTGATTAGGAAACAAAACATCTTCAGCTATGAGACCCTTTATTTTCGTCGCTTTCTTATAACAAATTTTGAGTAAATTTAACTACTAAAATTTTTGAGAAGTAGTTTGGGAAAGACATGGATATTCATTACACAACCCTTTGTTAAACAGGGTGTCGTTGGGAAAATGTAGTGTCCAGAAACCGGAGCAAGTACGTATACCATTATATCATAAACTTAATATCTGGCTAAATAAAATCAATTTAAAAAAATTCTTGTGAATAATATTATTATCAACAGGTACAGATATAATTCTTCAAATTTTTGCAAGTTTAGCATGTCAGTAGTCTGGCCAATCCATTTGTTTGTTTCCTTTTTTATTAACAGCATTTACCTGCTTAGAGAAAATCAAGAAGTGCCTCTTCGATGATTTCATTTGGTTTTGGATTGTTTTTTACCATTTTAAGCTTCCTTAAATTCTGTACCATAAATTCTGCACCAAAGTGACAGAGTTCATCTGGTCTTGTGGTCACTGCGCACCTATGGTGACATTACATCGTGTGACTACGTGGATCAGAAGAAACAAAGGACTTTTTTCTGGTTTTCCATGATGAGTCCTGTCAGGACCGTGGTTCAAAATCCCAAAGGTTTAAAAACACATTCTATGGATTGTTTAGTGTCTCTCATCACATCAGTTAATGTCAGGTGGCATTTTTTATCTATGAGGTCATCTATGGAGTTACAGAGTCCAAATAGCCATCAAAGCTCTGTTCAGAACACCATTCAGAAACAAGGTGAACATGGTCCTTGTTTAAGTACCCATAACTTAAGTACCCACACACTCAGAGCAAAGAAACTCATTGGTCCCAACCAGTTTTTTAACTCACCTCATTCGCCTCTCCTGCTCCCTTGATTGTGTAAAGTTTCTTTTTATCTGTGAGATCTTAGTGGGACTGTTTGTGTCAGTAAGAGTTCACTAGAGCAGGGAAGTATTGCAAAATCTGTACTTCTCCTGGGGAAAGTGAAGAGGAGGGTGCTTGAGCCTGTGTGCTTGGAGCAAAGGGCAGGGAGGGGAAGGGAAGTCACCACTAGTAAAATATCCAGAATTTAGATTTCCTCTTTCCCAGCTTCTCCCTTCCCATTTATTATTATTCTTCAATGTCTGTATAATTTTTTTTAAGTTTCATTGTATCTTTTTTTCATGTAATTTTTTCTTGAAAATTAAAAAGACTACGTGTCAAATTCTGAGTGAAGGCATTTCAAAATGGAGCCACTGAATGCTTCATACTACTTAAAGATCTCTGTCCCTTATAGGTTCAGTTTCCTTCATTTTTGCACTAAAGCAAGCTTATTTTATCTGGTGGGATTCCCATCATGCTTCCAGGCAGGCGGTGAAGATTTGTGTGCTGTAATAGAACTGGTGCCTGAAGGGCAGAAGGGATATTTCACAAGCAGGGACACATTTGCACAAACTGCTCTCACTTCTTGTTCTGGCAATGCTCTCAAGTAATGTCACGGGGCAGGCATTCCTCTCAAAAGACTTGGGGATTATTATCCTGCAACTTGTGGTGCAGCAGTAAAATTCAGCTGCCATACCTCAAAGTTAACCATTTAGTTACATGATTTGAGGGGGTTTTGAAATGTAATAGAGGAGATTATTAGTTCCCAAAGAAGAAATGGCTTAATAATTTGGGGTTAATAATGGATTTGACATTGGAAGTATTTATGAACATATGTGGTAAAGCCAGAGTGGCATAATCTAGACCGAGGAAAGGGTATAAACAGTAATAAAAGGGAATTTCTCCAAAAGACATAATAGGTTGATGAGCATAACAATTTCTGTTGTCTTTTCTACAAAGGTTGGCAAAAGTGACGGCTTTTGTGGAGATTTCTCCTTATTGCTCCTTGGTCTTGAATCTCTCCTGCTTGCAGAAGAGGTGTGCCAACTAATGCTCTTCCTCTGGTGGACATGACCAATCTGTTCATGCATTGGGCCTCAACAGTTGTTTTTGGGAACTCTATGCTACTCTATACCATTCTATACCACAGGTAACATTTAGGGTCCCTGTGTTGTTTAGAAGCACTAATTTTAAAATTAATTAAGTTGTAAAAAAAAAAGTAAAAGAATTGTAGTCACTTTGCTTCCTCAATAACCATCAGCATACTCAGCCTCTGGAAACCTGTACTGTGCATCTCCATCAACATTTTTACAAGGTCCTAGCTGATTTTACCAGAAAAGTGGTGCTATTGACCCATTTTAAACTAACAAAACACATCTACACTCTGAGCTATATTCACATCTGTTATGTGCATGTTGTATTTGTGGACTGTTGCATTTGCCTATTTCTCAGTTGCTCAAAAGCTGATGTAAGAAGCTAATTGAACACTACTAAATACAAGAGGCAGGTATTTACTCTCTTTGAGCTTACTGCTTTTTTTTTTTCAATAGAGCTGATCTTTTTTTTAGCTTTGTGATCACATAGAGATGTCTCTTCCTGATTTCAGTGTGTGGAGAGGGATTAATTGCTTGGGAACAGCTCATGAAATGGGCTTAACTCTACAGTATTGATTTCCTTATTCAAAGACCCACTTGGATTCCTCATACTTTCATACTAGAAGTAGCTGAAGATGGTAATGAGGAATCTGGCAGTACCTGGCAGTTACTGTTTTGATTTGGGTTTTTTTTCTCATTGCTTCAAAGTTCTTTCTGAATAGCTGAATGTTCTTGCATCTTTTAAAAGTGTGTTTCAAAATTACATTTATGTTCATCTACCACGACAATTCATATCTACAAAAATTGCTACAGTAGAATAGTTTGGGAAAATGACCACAACTATTCAAATAGGAACATTTTGTAGTCATTCACTTATTAAGTTTTCCTAGTACATGGACTAGCTTTGCCATCAAAATTTATTTACTGAAAAACGCCAAAACACGGCGACATACAGCTGAACCTTTCATTGCAAATTCTTTAAGGAGAACAAGTTTCTTGACAAAATTCAGAACCAATTCCACCAGAGATCACTACTGTTTCAGCAGATACATTTCAAATTTTTAAGAAAACTTAACATGGGAAGGAAGTTTGGTAATAAATCAAAAGTATCAACATCTTTACCCTTTTTTAAGCCTCAAACATAACAAAAACTGTTTGCATTTAATTTGATCACACAGAGTCCAGGGTCCTTGTTATAAGCATCCTGATTTTATATATTAGCCAGTAATCCTTTGCAAGGTTTGTAAGTTCCTGGTGCTGCCATTCTTAGCATGCAAGTGGTCTCTGCTCTCCTAGACGTTCCCCTGCCGTCAGATGGTTTTTGCTTCCTTGGTAGCTCTGACAAACTCTTCCAGTTTTCCTCATGGATTCTGTTATTTTAGCCCTTAGAAAGAATGTAACATTGTGAACTGAAACACTTTATTGCACACAGAATGACCTTAAGTAAATTCTTCTGAATCTTTGCCCTCATAAGACTCTTAAGCTTTTTGTACTTCAGTTTCTACAAGAAACAAAGTCTTGTGGGTTTTTTGCTTCTAATCTTTCATTTTTTGCAGCTTTTGTGCTAACAGCTATTGCTTTGTATTAAGACGATGACAATGGCTACACTGGTCCAATTTTCTATACTATTCCAACTAGAAATATCTCTCCAATCTCTCTCTCCTTTTTTTTTTAATTAAAAAAAAAAATCAGCATCTTGAATAAACCTGTCACAACATCATTTAATCTCCATTTCTGCAAGATGTTAACAGATTGACAGTATCTTCACCACCTTCCTTACATTTGATCCCATCTCCTTTCCAAAACTCTGCAGAGGATAAATTGCAGTTAGTGTTTTGTTCTACTTTAGGCTGCAATCTTCATACTTCAGAACCAGTCTTACTTATTTCCCTAAGTTTGCCAAGGAAAGAATAAACAGTGGAGCATGGTCAAAAGAACATTTTATTTACGAAAATGTGGAATTTTGGGTAGAGCAGAATTATTAGTAAAATTGCAGCATCAGCCAAAAGTAAAGGGATATTTTAATTTTATTTTCACAAGCAGTTCTAAATGGTTTCCCCTTCTCCCCAGGTGGATTCCAAAATAATATGCTGGTTTTTTGGACTAAGGTAAATTTGCAAGAACAATTCAGTGGCTGAGAATGTGGTGTTAAATACATTTAAGAAGTAAGAGCTACTGATAATATGTCACATTAAAAAAAAAAGCTATAAAAAGGATAGTTCAGACCCCTGAGGCACTCCTCTGACCCTAGGTGTTTCTTTTTAAATGTAAACTTTTATGTGCTGAAGTCAGTAGCCGGAATCCAAAAGGCGTTACTCAAAATCAGCATCAGCACCTATTTGTAGCCTCCTGTTTAAAAACAAAAGACTTGCTAAGACAGTTGTAGCATCTGTAGGATTCATCAACTCCCTGTAGAGGCTTACTTGGTTCCTTCCAAACATTCCTTTCGGGACACAAGAGCCATTTTTTTGGCAGCACTACAGGCACAAGGAGGTGCACAGAAAATACCCTGACCAAGGCAGCCTCTCAGGCAGCTGTAGGATGTTCTCCTCAGATGTAGGACGTTCTCCTCAGATGCAGGACAGCAGGCCTTTGGGCCCACTGACAGGACAGATATCCCTAGGCAGTCTTCAGTTACAGAAAAGATGGATGCAGGTGTTTCTGGCCTGCAGTGTTTTCAAAGAACACCTGTAGACATTTCTGCATTTCCACAGAAGGTAATGCTATGGTCTGCATCACACAAGGAGGAAGCTCTCAGACTTTACAGCCTCTTTAGACACCAGGGGTTTGTATTTAACACGAGTATGGTGGTATGATTTGGCACCTTATCTGCTGGCCAGCTCTGGGCAGATACCTCCTCAATGCACTGATTTCTGTATTAGGGTCCTAAAGTTACTCATTCTTGCTGTAAACACCCGGTGTTGAATCTGGGAGATTAGGCTGTACACCAAGAGCCCTGTACTTAACCAAGTGTTCTTGTGTTCTGGTTTGGATTTGGCCTCTAGATTTTATATTGATCTTATGTGGTGGTTTGGACCTTGGTTTTTCCCCAGAGGCTGAAAAAGTAGTAGACCCCAAGGGGTGGAAACCCCTGGAAGTTTTGAAGTTTTGCCCAATGGGCGCTCCTGCAAAAATGTAAACATATCACAAGCACCGGAAGAGATGAGTTGTAGTTTTGGTTGTTGTTGGAGAGGTGGCCATGTTGTGAGCCACGAGGAAGGGGCTCTGAGCCCCTTGGGCCCTCTGGGGCCTCCCAGCCCCTGGCTGGGGGAAGGCTACAGAGATTTGGAACAGTGCTAGACTGGACTAAGTGTCTGTTGTTATGCCGGGAGAAGTTTTTTCTCCATGGGCACAGAGCAGCAGCCGGCACTGACCAGAGAAACAGTG